ATTCACAGGTCATGTGACAAGATTGGGCACCATCAAGTGACAGCCATGTCATCCAGGTCTTACCTCTTACCAGGTGTGACAAGTCACTGAATTGGCCACTAACCTGAATGCTCTGTAAATTATTGTACAAGGATTTTTAAAAATATGATTATCCAGGCCCTGGCCTCCCCGCCTCATCTCCCACCAATACCTAATGCTTTGCTTCCCAGTCCTCTAAACTCCTTTGGTTTCTCAACATCAGATTGTTTTCACACCTCTAGGCCTTCTACGTGGAAGATGTCACCCCCAATCTTGGCTCTTGGTAGACCCCCATTTGTCCTGTAAAACCCAACTTGGATATTACCTCTTTCAGGAAGTCTTCCTGGGTGGCCTCCCCACCACACCAAGAGTCTAACACTAATCCCTTCTTCCTCTTATACCATTTCTCATTATTATCTGTCTGTGAGGACCTGGAGGGTAGAGATGCTATGACTTTTATCTGTGTCCCCACCCTAAACACAGAGCCCCTCACACTATAATGACCACACCTACCATGTGCCACATGCCATGTGCCAAGCCTTAGCTGACTGACAGACATGATCTCAGTTAGCCCTCACCACAGAGAAATGTTGTGGCTAATGGTGCAGAGTGGTTAATGGTGCCCCAAACTCACACAACCAGAAAATGTCAGTCCAGGACTTGTATCCTAGGCCCACTGATGCAGAGTCCACATTCTTCAGTCCACCGGGCTATAGAGGCTAAGCACAGGCTAACTGGACTAAGTGAACTGAGCACCTCTGAGAATGTGGAGCTGCCGGCTCTGTGTCAGATGGGGGCATTCAAGGACAGCAGAGCTGGGCCCTAGAATCAGGAAGCAGCCGTTAACAATACCACACCATCATACTCCTCTTCCGGCTTCTGTAGGCACTGATGATGAATATTAGATAGTACGAGGCTGCAAGTCAAAAGGGTGACTCTTCAAGGACCACTGAGAGAAGAGATGGCAGGTGGGCTGACAGCACCGACCCACCTAAGCTGTGACATGGCTTCACCAGCCGATGCTTGCTGTGTGGCTCTCAGTCACTCTTCTGACTTCTCTGAGCCTCTATTTCCAAACATTTAACAAACAGAATGCAAGAACCATAGAGAATGATCTGTGCTCTCAAGGAGCATACAGTCTAGTTGAGAAGGAAACACACCCACATTCAGCTGAGCCCCTAACTCTGTGTGGTCCTGCACAGTTCCCTTGCTACCCCAGGTTTTCTCTTTAAAATGAGGGTCAGAGTCATCTCCCCGCACACACCCCCACCACACTGGCACAGCTTTTAAGAAACCAACAACGAGTATACACATACTAGTATATACATCCAAAATACTAGTATATATATCCAAAGTCAAAATGTTCCCATGACAGGCAGCTGACACCATACTTGGCACATGGTAGGTGCTGAACAGAGCACTTAAACAGTTATCCAACAGGTACTAGATTAAGATAGCAGAGGGGTGTCACTGATTCCTAAAGAAGCCAGTGTTCCGCCCCTGGTCCCATTGTATGAACTAAGGCTGGCATAGCTTGTAAAGCAGCCCTGCCACTTCAGGCTATCCTTAGCTCACTGAGCACCCAGCACTGAGCCTGACTTGACTGCTCCTTCTCTCACCCAGGGCAAAAACTTCCTGTGTCATGTAGAATCTATTCTTCTAGCCTAGAGCCCAGTATGCCCTGCCTCCCCCCCCCCCACCAGCCTCCCCTCTGAATGGCCATTTCCATGTGGTCCTTCATCTGGCATTTCATTGATTTATAGCATATTCTGCCTTTAAATCACCTATCAGTCACTCACACCTTAGTGTAAATTTAATTTTGCTTTCCTCCCCAAACTGAACTGAAATCAAGGGAAGGGGAAAAGGGAGAAAATGTTACAAAGAGGAAAAGGATGGTTTCAGAGAGCTTTAGTCAGTCAAGGGGCAGCACTGCAAGCTCTGAGTTAGATGAGAAAACCAGAGAATCAAGCTTCTGAAGAGGTTCCAAGTGGGACTTTCAGGTTTTCAATTATACCCAAATCCCACTGAAGACTCAGTGTAAAGGTCTTAAATTGTAGGGGAAGCCCTCCCACTGGAGTGATCTTGGTAAAGTCATATGCCCCATCTGACCTTCTGCTTTCTCCCATGTGTAGTGGGCATCGTGTATCTAAATTTAGAGCTGATGCAGAGATCAGATGAGCATGTTCTGTCAACCGTTCCACAGAAAGCTGAAACAAGATAATCTCCTGTCCTGCTGCCCCCAACCCTGCCCACCCACATGTCCCTGCCTGCCCTGGCTGTGACTGAGCCTCAAAATCCCCACCATTCCCCAAAGTGGCCTCAACAGCAGGACAGGAAAATGCAGCAGAGACCTTGGAGCTGGATAAAAATAGCCAGCTCCAGGCCGGGCACTGGAATTGTCATTGTGGGAGACAAACAAGGGCGGTCTCCATCCCGGGACTGCAGACACCCTGCTCCAACACAAGGCTAGTCCTGAGACACTGAGAGGGGCCAGGGTCTTGGGCACAACAGCCCCTCAGAATCCAGGGAGGCAGAGGGGACTGGGCAAGATGGCTGGTGTGGTCTCTGGACATCGGTGAAGTCTGCCTGTTGATGATGCCAATATGCACAGAGCCCCATGCCTCCTATCAGCTCCCAACCCCATCCCTGGCACTTAAATTGGGACAGGTTGCCCCCAAGTTTTGATTACTCTACCTCCATTGCCCTGGTCACCACCCGGTCTGAATTCAAGAAGCAAGTGGAGACACGCTTGCTGTGGAACACTAGGTGGGAACACTATCCTCTCCCAGGATAGGAGAGTGGGTAATCACATCCCAAACCTACCACTTACAAAAATTCAGGAATTTGAACAGTTAGCACCAGAGAGATGCCTGCTTCCTCACCTCTAAAAAAAAAAATCAGGGAATCCTATCTGTCTTACTTGGTTGTGGTCAGGAGTCAATGAGATAGAGGACCAGCACTTAGTAAGTGCTAAGTAGTGTCAATTAATGTCAACTGTTGTCAGGAGCTGTAATAGTATTATCTTTATTTGAAGGCCAAATGCCCAGCTTGGCATCATACTCTCTATTCACCTTTCTGAACTCAAGTCCCGCCTGTCCCCTCCCTTCATTCCATCTTGGCAGGATGACTTTGGTCACCCCTCTGGTCTTATCCTTACTCCATAGGGCCTCCCTCCTTGGGCCTGTGCAATGTGGCAGCCACCAAGGCCCTAAGTCTGTGAGCTCCCAGGAGGCAGGTACTCAGATCACCACTGGTCCTCAGATCCCCACAGCACAAATAGGTGAGAAAAGCTGAACAGTGAGCTCCCAGAGTGGCAGAGGGACAAGTGAGGCCCCCAGAAAGGGCCTGGATAACCACAAAGGTAATAGCCCCACTTGCCTACTAAGGTGACCAGGAACTCAGACCAAAGCCCACCAGACGTCATTCATTCTCCGTGCCCTAGGAAATGCCAAATTACCTCCCCAGTCCCTTCAGTCCCTTAGAATTCCAAGCCGCTGCAAGCCAAATTTTCTCCTAAGAACCTCACAGTCCTTGTCCACAGTAGAGCAGCAAGGACCTTCTCACAAGCCAGTCACTAAGACTCCTGGGCCCCTGGAGGGAAGTCCCAAACACAGGACCACTGGGACCCAAAGGCAGCTGAACCTAATGGGCCCAGGGCCTCTGGAGCCCTCCCAGATTGGGGGAGGAACTACTGCAAATATTCCAGGGTCTGTTGCTCCCCCCCGAGTTACACACCAGGCTTGCTTCGGGATGACCAAGATCAAAAGAGACTATATCTTCAAACCCCATGAAACTGGAAGGCACCTCCACACACGAGACTTTCCACTACTAACAATAGAGAGAAGGGGATGTCAGACAATCACCTGTCCATCCAGATAGCCTATGCCAATGCTCTCCATCTACATTAAATACACTCTGGGGGCCTCTCTGGTGGTGCAAGAGGTTAAATCTCAGCACTACGAAGCTATCCACAGCCATTGCAGCATGAGTTCAATCTCCACCCAGGAAGCTACCCACATGGCACAGCAGACCTTTCCTGCTGCTCCCCTCAGCAGTGTATTTCAGTCTATCTACCTGTTCTGCTCCCTGCTCTGTCTCTGGTGAATCCTCTTACCTCCTGCACCTCTGGCCTGCACCCCAGCAATTGTATGCAAAAATAAATAAATCTTTAAAATAAATAAATAAATACACTCTGGGGGCTGGACTTCACATGGCTATCCAGCCATGCCCAGTAGGAAGCACAGATGTTGACACCCTCCCAGCACAGAGCCAGGCCACAAGCTGTCTTCATAGGATACCCCCACCCACCATTATTCCAAAGGACCCTTCTGGCCCTCAATAGCCCCAAATCACCATCAACCTCTCATTTCTTACAGAAAACTTGATTAAGGTAGACCCCAGAGTGTGAATGGCCAGCTCTTAATTGCAGAGAATGGGAGGCCCCAAGCCAGGGTTCTCTCTGCTTCCAAGCCCAGCCATCACTGAACAGGGAGAGACAGGGAAACCTCTGGCCTTTGGCAAACCCCTGTCCTGCCAGACCCTCCCCCAAACTCCTTCTACTCACTCTACCCCCTTCTTCTGACCCTTCACTTCAGTACTTCCCCAGACCAGGGACAGGAAGATAAAAATGCATTCAAACACATCCATTTTGCTGCCTCTTGGCAGCTGGGAAAAGAGGAACCCTTGCTAAAATGAGGGTTGGAGAGTTGTGCTGGGCTTTGATCCATGACAGGCAACTGGTGAAAGGGCGGATCAGGCGGCACTTTAAAAGTTACCATCCTCAGGTCTCATTCATACCAACTGTTCTTAATAATCCCAAGAACACCAGCGATGCACACACTGGCAGTCTTCCCCTCCAGGGGGTGGGAGAAAAAGGGAAAAGAAAAGAGGGGGAATTAAATGACCTTCGTCAATGCCCCCCACAACCTGCCCCTTCCATACAGTGCAACATGACAGCAATGCAAATGGGGAAAAATGCCAACCTGAGAATTCACCCGGCGCAGTGATGAGGGAGTTGGTGGCCTCCGTTTCAGTGTAAGACAATGTGGAATCAGATAGATCTATGGAAGGAAAGAGAGAAAATTTAGTTGGCTGTGGGGTGCTTCCTTTTTCCTCCTTCTCCAACATCTATGTGTGTGTGTGTGCACACATGTGTATGTGTTCACAAAGGGCACTGCGCACCTCCTAACTTTCTGGTACCACCTTGCAACCCTGTCCCATGACCTCACGAGACCAGGCCAGCCAGCCCTGGGACTCTTCTGGAAAATGCTGACTGCTGTGCCCTGGCACCTTAGTTTCAATTGCCCTGACCACAGAAATAACCCAAGTTCAGGGGACCCAGCAAGTCGCAACTTGGAGCCTCCTTGGGTAAGGTTAAATTAAGCCCCTAAACAATTCATAGTTGCTGTACTTAATTACAACCATTAAAATTCTTGAAGTTGTTCCTTCTTGCTTCCTTCCTTCCTTCCTTCCTTCCTTCCTCCGGCTGGTGCTGGGGAAACTGTTTTAACAAGTTACCAGCCATCCTTTCTCTGTCCCGCTTACACCCCTCTAATTAAGGGCTCAAGCATTTGCTCCCAGATTAACTTTTTTTTCTCTCTCCCCTCCTCCACTCCCTAACATCCAAACCCACTCAAAGAACAACTTTCAATGCCTGGACTTTTTTTTTTTTTTAAGTAGTTGGAAGTACTTCATATGGCGTGCATTATTTGTTTGCCCTTGTCTGCAGTGCAGCTAGATGAAGGGAAATTCTTTTACACGTTTTCTCTTGAACACTGAGCTGCTCACTTGACAAGCTGATGCCGCTTGAGGCTGGCAGACTTGGAAAATTTTTCCTGGGCCTGTGCCTCCTCTACCAGCAATTGGGTGTTGTCCTGGTGAAGGGACAGACTTGTCCAGGAGTCAGGAGGCATGTTCTGTGAGGCCTGCAGCACTTTCATCTTCTCACCCAGCATAACCCAGGCCTGGCTTGTCCCACCTGGCTCAGGAGAGCCATTGCAACCTGGGGATTCCTGGGACAAACAATTAGCCTCGACTCGACCCTCGCTAGCTAGGATTCCATTTGATCCTGCAGGAATTTTTCCCTTTTACCACATGGCTTGGGGAGCGGGAAGATGAAACATTAACCAATTGGCCTTTTTTTTTTTTCGTTTCCCACTTGCCAGATGCTGACTGGGTGTTCTGGGTTATATTTTGTTTTTTGGTCTCGTGATCACTGAGGCTTAGGAGCGAACTGACTTTTTGTTTATGAAAAAAGCAACAATGTAAGGAAAAGAAAATAATACAAAAAATGGCTCAGACTCTGTTGGAGGGTATAAAAAAGTTACCTGCTGGTAAAATGTGTTAGGAGGAAAATAAGGGTAGATAGAAAATCTCTTTAAAAATAATAATAACCTCAATGCCTAAGTGGGAACTTCCTAATAGTTAATTGTTTTTTAAATTAACTTTTAATGGTTAATGTTCCCAAAGTGTCCAGCACCCCAAGTCTTGTTGCCGCTTTTCATTTGAAGTAACGACACTGCAGGCTGAACTGTTTCTCAGTGTGCAGCAGACTGCTCAGCTAAGTTCCCAATTTTCCCCTTCCCCAGCTAATACATCCCTCTCACACCCTCACATCCCCACAGCTAGTGCTTCTAAATACTCTAGACGTCTGAACCATGCAGAAGTTGTGAAAAAAAGAACACTCCCAACCCCAACCACTGCTTAAGCACCAAGGAAGGATCAGCTGTCTGGAAGCTGGAGCCCCAGGTTCAAGTCCAACCTCCACTATTTGGAACATCAGGGGTCACCAACTGTTTCAGCAAAGGGCCCTACAGTAAATATCTTCCATTCTGTGAGCTGCACAGTCTCTGCTCCAGCTATTCAATGGTACGGATGCCGCCACAAATGAGGCGCGAAGGCTGAGTGCGGCTGCACTCCATCAGGCTTGACGATGGCCAAATTTGAATTTCATATAATTTTCACATGTCACAAAATATTATTCTCCCTTTGGCTTTTTTTTAAACATTTGAAAAAGGAAAGACCATTCTTAGCTTGCCTGCCACGCAAAAGCAGATGGTGGGGTGCAGCAAGTGACAGCTCAGCTGTCTCATTTATAAAACCACGGGACACCCCTTGATTTTTACATGGTCATTCTGTGGGGTGGGGACATCCTGAGTTTTGCTGCTTTATCACAGGTTGACATTCCTCAAGGCAATGATCCTTGACATTAAATCTGAGGTGCTATACTTACTAAGAACCACTGCGGGAGTTTTCCTTCACTGAACTAGGGATCTTCTAAGCGACTAGAGCAGTTATGCTAAGACAGGATGTGCTGAGGCAGGCCTGTGAGGGAAGGCCAGGGACTCACGGGCTAAAGAGGGGGCGGCTCTAGGTTCCCTCCTTGGCCCTGCTCTTCAGGAGCTGGGTGGTCCTCCCTGTCCCTCAGTCTGATTCCTCATCTATAAAGGGATGGGTTCTCGCTGGATGAGTCTTCAGTACCCATCTCACTGGATGACCATACATGGGGAAAAACAAGGGAGTTACCGCTGTTTAACCACTGACTCACACGGACAGCCTTTGTCATCTTAGAATGAGGGGATCAAGCTCCTGAAGGGACCCAGTAGGCATGTCTAACCTTACAGGGGTCCTGGACTGGGTGCCTGAGAGTCCTAGACACTAAGAAGTGACCTCTGGGACAATAGTGACCCACACTACTGGGACAAGGCCTTTACCAAAAACAAAACCAAACCCACTTTTTGTGGCCATTTGGTGGAATGTGGGGAGCATCACAGCCATACCATCTGATTTCTAAGGTTTTGAAGCTAGGCCCCCACCGCCACCTAAGTGCAGGAGCCATGAGAAAAGCAGGCCCAGGCCAGAAGTAGCTGCCTACACGCAGCTTCTCCCCTAGCTGCCAGCCTGGTTTTGAGTGCAGGGCCTGTGGGAGTTTCCGGCCTGATGCCCAAAGCGCAGAAGGCTGTGGAATGTGGGGGCCTGATGGCAAGCCCCGCACAGCCTTTTTATAATTGGCACCTAGATCATAGGATGAACAAATGAGGTGAGAGCAAAATGAACCAACCGTGTCTATCAGCTCATTAGTTAATTATTCAGTGCCATATGGGCTGATTGGTCCTAAAACAGTCCAACCGGTCACTTAGAATTTAAAATGTTCCAAAATGGGGCCTCCCTGGTGGCACAGCAGTTGACCGTTGGGCTGCGAAGCTGCCCGTCAGCCTCTGCAGCGCCGGTTCGATACCCAGCCACCTGCGAGGGTCCCACATGGCACGCAGACCTCTCCTGCCGCCCTCTGCTCCCCTCAGCAGTGTACTTCGGTCCTTCTGCCTGCTCTGCTCCCCGCTCTGGCTCTGGTGAATTCTCTCACCCTCCCACGCTTCTGACTGTACCCAGTGCTTGTATAAATAAATAAATAAATCTTTAAAAAACAAAATGTTCCAAAATGGCAGGTATCAAGTAGGATGGGGCATCCTGGGAGAGGATATAAGGCAGGGAACATGGAACCTCCGCTTTCTATGGATGGCATTCTCATACAGTCTGAGTACCACAAGAACTGCCTGGGCCACAAAGTTGCTCTCCTGGTACTATTAGGGCCACACTAGCTGGACATACCACTCGAAAAAACAGGAAAGGAAAAATGCCATCTGTACTTTTTTGAAAGTGTGTGCATCCACCCCTGACCATGAGCTACTCACCTGGCCCAGAAATTTTACAAAAATGCTTTCTACCACTGAATGGGACGTGTCTGAAATAACATTATCACCTCCACCTCACACCCAGAAGATGGACTATGCCAGGGGTTTTAGGTACCAAGACACATGTTTTCTAAATGGTCCAACTGTTGTTTCTGCCCAGGTCAACTCCTTGGCTTAAAAAAGGGGGGAAACATACTCCTCTCAACAGTGACTTCATGGCCAACCTATTTGTCATGCTACTAATTAATACACACTAGAGGAGAACAACCAAAGGCTGGGTAGACCGAGGGAAAGAGCAAGAAATACTAGCCCACCTCCAACGAGATACTTAAGTCAAAACTCATTCATCTCTCCCACAGGCCCATGTTTAAAGGTCAGAGAGAGGTTAATGATGAGCTGAGGAATTTCAAGATGTAAATAGAGGAATTTTGAGACGTAAATAGCCTGCTGCAGAGGCTGTTCTGCTTTGGCCCCACCGAGGGTGTGTTTGTAAAATGTTACCCCATTTCAAATGGCTTTCCCTTCCCCTCCAACCCTTCAGCATGGAGGCTGGGAGAGCCCAGGATCAACACACCTCCCCAAGGGTCAGAAGGAGGACACACTTACCCAGTGGCTTGTACTCGTCACGAGGAGACAGCCGAGAGTAGGGGGGTGGTGGTGATTCTGTAAGACAGGAGACATCATGTCACTGCTGGGTTGGGAGAGGTCACACCTGGGGGTTCTACATGCTTTGAATTATTGGTTCTTCAAACAATAAGCCCAGCCGCCAGAAAGTCCTCCTTTTTTCCCACCACCTCTGCTTCCAAATCCACTAGAACAGCACTATCCGACAGGTAGGGTTGCAGGCTTGTAGTACAGACAGATCTGGGCTCTTCATCTTAGCTGTGTGACCTCAGGGAAAGATACTTCACCTCTCTGAGCCTGTTCCCTCAGCTCTAAAAGGGGGACAATAGTCAGTAGACCTTCCCAGATCTGCCAGAAGGGCAAAAGAGAATAATGTATATAACATACTTGGTATAGCTATTGGGATGGTGGAAAAATATCTCCACAAACAATAACTATTATTAATACAACAAGGGAAACATGGGGACAGGAAAGTCAGTGCTAAGGATGCTCAGTTATTTTGCATTTTGAATACACATGGCATAACTTTTTAGGTAAGTATGTCCTCTGTCATATCTGAGATGGACTAACAAATGGTGTGTCACAGTCAGGCCTTGCTAACGATGGGGACAGATTCTGAAAAATGGATCGTGAGATTTCATTGTACATTACCATGGTGAGTGTAATCACACAGATCTAGATGCTCTACCTACCACGCACAGGTTGGATGGGATAGCCCACTGGGACCACCGTGGTAAACATGATCTGACGTTGACTGAAACTTTGAAAAGAGATACATGACTATATTCATCTGAAATTCTAATTTAACAGAGAATCCTGTATCTTCATTTGCTAAATTTGGCAACCCCAGCCAGAACTGAATGTGAGTATAGAGGCCCAGACTTAGAAGCTAGTTTCCAAATAAGCTGCACTAGAACTAACATTCCTTGGGGCAGGGAGAAGGGTAAGATTGGTTGGCAAGCCCAACCCAGCTACCTGGAGAGGAGGCCTTAAACCAGTCACTTCCAGTCACTTCCACCTCTGGGCCTCCAGCGTTCCCTGTATAAAGGAAAGGGGAGGGCACTCAAGCTCCAAGTCATCCCAGCCCAGATCCTCAGTGATTCCTTATTGTCTATGGTATTTTCTTTTTGGTTTCCTTTCATTTGCCTAAAATACTCCTCCTTAAAAACATATATTTTGTCTTCAGAAGGATTCCTTAGTCTCTTGCTTTAGGGGAAGTAACAATTTGCTCAACTAAGTAACAATTTGCATGAATGAAATGACCCTTCATTTTCAGTAAATGAAACTAAACGCCATCAAATCGCAAACTAAAACAAACTCTCAGTGGTAGTAAAGTGGTAATAACTATTATTAGGCAGGTATCAGTAATGACACAAGGGGGTAATAAGTGTTTTTCGCAATTATAATAAGGCACAATTAGTTGTAGGAGCATTTGTTTTGCTCTGTACACCCAATGCAGCTTCACCTCTTCCCCACCCCAGTCTTCCCAGCCAGAAATTACTTCAACAAAAAAAGCAAAGGCTCTGAGGTCTGGAAATGGGGAATCTTTTGTGGAGAGGAGTTAGGGAGAAAGAAAAGTGAATCACAAACTAGCCACTGGGAGAGAAGCAAACATTTACTGAACTTTTACTACCTTGTGTCTCTCCACACCAGGCATTTTTAATTTCATTTATTGTATCCTATTCTTTCAAACCTTAGGTACAGAGTGGCTACACATGCTCATTGGGTACCTAATCTTTATTTCATCCTTTCTCAAAAGTAAACTAGATGGCCACCATTATCCCCATTTTACAGATGGAAAACTGACTTGCCCAGAGTATCCCAGCAATCATGATGGAGCTGTGATTTGAGCCCAGGCCTGAGTCTGCTGTACATGCCAATCAAACAGGCAATAGGGAGACACCCTGTCTTACACTCATCTGACCCTCCAGCCTAGCACATCACGGGCACAGAAGAAAGTATTTGGTAAGCATCTATAAACAAAGAAAACGGTGATGAGAATAATGGTAACACTGGCACATCTGTGGACAGAGTATGAAGACAAAGGACCAAGGGAGGCCAAAAGATTAACCCAACCAGGCTCAAGGAGGGGAGCACTTTGTTTCAGACATCAGAGGGGCTAGAGGCCAGGCTTAAGCAAGGACCAGTCTCTGGGAACAAGGGCTAGAGTTCCACAGGGAAAGAGAATGGGGTTTGCTGGCGCACCCACAGCACAAAGACAGAGGCCTGGAAAGCGGAAGTGACAGCCTCAGGGCCAGACAGGGAACTGGTTGTAGTGCTAGAACCAGAAGCAAGGTCTCCTGACCCCAGCCTCCGCCCTTCCACACCCCACTAACTTACCAGAAGGCCTGCAGTTCCTGTGTTAGGGTTACTTTTGCAAAAAAGCTTATTGGTAGAGGCCCAGGCCACACATGGTGGAGAGCTCTGGACATCTACGCCCACCCCCCACCCCCCACCATCCCCAAAGTAAAAATTGGCAGTGATGTGTGATAGAGTCAAGCCATTGTAATCAATCCAGCATTTTTTCCAAGGGCTACTTACCTGGGACTCTAAAGGTGGTGGGGGGAAGGGCTCACAAAGTACTACCTCCAAGGAACCACCTGGGTCTTGAGTGGTGACACCACCTGCCACCCATGGCCACACCTGGGCTGGGGATTCTTATGTGGGGGAACAGAAAGCAAATCTACAAACTTGAAAGATCTGACATACCAGCTTGTGAGGAACTGCAAAGTTTTTAGGGGGCACTTTACCAAGTCCCAATTTGCTCCAGTAAAATGGTTTGCACTGAACTACTACAGAGACTAGAAGCTAATCACCAAATTCCATCACAGACAAGTAAAAAAGTATGAAGACCTATAGATTCCACCCCAAAACAAGGGGATTTAGAATGTCAGAGGTTCACCCAACCCAACTTCTTGGGGTTGACCCAACTAAACTTCTTTGAACTGATAGGACAACTAAGGTCCACCCAGGTTAAGCACCTACCCAAGGCCACACAGGAAGGTAGGAGGCTTACTTCAGCTAAACAATGGGGGAGGCCACCTGGGACCAATACCAAGTTACCTTGTTATTAAAATTGGGCTATTTACAGACCCTATGTTTCCCTTTTTTAAAGTATACAATTCAGTGAGTCTGGTATATTCCATACCACAACTGGACATCATCACCACCCCAAGAAAAAACCTTGTCCCATTAGCTGTCAGCCCCTCAAGCCCTGAACCCAAAGTAACCATTTAATCTACTTCCCATCTCTAGGATTTTCTATTCTTTGCCTATTTACATTCTACACAAATGGATTCAAACATGTGGCCTTTTGTGTATGGGTACATGTTTTCTGTAGCATCTAACAAGTACCTCATTCATTTTTATCACTGAATAACATTCCACTGTATGGATATGCCACATTTTGTTGATCCACTCATCACCCAGTGGACAGTCAGGTTTTTTCCACTTTCTGGCTATTAGGGATAAAGCTGCCATGAAAATACTGGATGACCTTTAACTGTCACCTCCATGCCACTCCCTCCCATCCACATGGATCTGGGAGCAAGGAGCCCAGGACATTGATCCAGGTGGGCAAGGTGGCACTCAGGTGGGACACTGGGTGGGTGAGACAAAAGGTCAGGAGAAAATGTGAACTCTGGCCAGGTCTTCTGTCCGCTTCTCCCCAGAAGCTACCTTTGTACTTGCAAAGGAATACTTGCAAAGGTTGCATTGATTTAGAAATAATTCATGTGGTTTAAATGTTAGCAGGAGAACTTCCAGAGCCCTATAGGCCCCTCTGAAATAAATGGACCTGGAGGAAGGAAAGATGGAAAGAGAGAGACAAAGATTTCAAAAACCCCAACCCCCTCAGACACGCAAGCCCCAGGGCACCACTGTCAAGAATCTCTCCACCGTCCTTCAGAAGTGAGAGCAGCCAGCCAGGGGCAGGTTTACCAGAAGGCTGGTGCCCAGTCCAGCCTTCAGTTAGCCTCAGGGGGGGCCTGGCCTTTTTGGGATCTAGACCCTAATTTGAAAGTCAGAAGAATGCACAGCCTCTCCCATGCCTAGTCGAGGTTCGCTGTGTAAGACCTTAACTTCCACCCTCATCTTCGCAGCTTAGAAGAGAAAGCTTCCACGGACTCCTAGTTTCTACTCTCCCAAGGAGTGGACACAGGAGGAGAGGGGGCCTCTCCGGTACCTGTTCCCTCTACCCCTAGGACCTGAAGGCTCCACCCCAAGTCCCACAGTGGGAGATGTAGAAAAGGGGCTCCTGGCGCTTTAAGGCCGGCTGAGCCTAATTGCCCAGATTCCCCCGGCAGCCAGATAAACAGCGCAGCCGGCTGGCGCCAGCAAGAGGCAAACTGCACATTATCACCCTTCCTCACCTCCAAGGAGGAACAGGAACAGCAGAGCTGGGCAGGCCGAGGGGCCGCTGGAGGGGCGGGGCGGGGGCTTGGAAGACCAACTTGAAATTGATCTCATTTCAAAGGGAAAATGCCAGGCCAAATAAAAGGAAAACTTTCTAGCCCATTCTAATTCCAATAGTCCTGGCCTGGGAACCCTGTGTTTTCCTAGGCGGCCTCTTGCAGTAGTTTAGAAGCTCTCTCGCACTCTGTCTCTCTTTCCTTGGTGCAATTTGGATAATAGTAATTTACTGAATATAATTACAGAAAAAAAAAAGTGGTGAAGCAAAGAGCAGGAGATTTATTCCAAAGTTAATGGATACTTTCAGGAGAAAGGAGCTCTATAAATACAGGTTAGAACTGTGATTAAAGTATTTCTCCACATTTCCGTCCACATAGGCACCGAGCTCAGCGAACTAGCTTTTCCTGGGACAGAAAGACACACCAGAGGGAGGGAGACCTAGGGTGTGACTCCCACGTTGGGGGGGGGTGGAGGGGGTGTGTGTCACGACATGAGGCTGGGGCAGAGCCAGGAGGACCCCACTTTCTGGGACAAAGGGGAGCAGGCAGAGGAAGGGAGACAGACCTGTGTCACCTGGAATCTGCCCGTGGGGACCTCAGAGTTTCTGTCCACCCCCTCACTTTATAGATGGGAAAAGAGGCCTGGAGCCAGACCTGGCCCACAGAAAGTTAATGGATAGATTGGGGTTGGTTCTGATCATCAGGGGTCCTCTCTGCCCAGAAAGGGGCCTCTTGTCCCTGGGGCCCCATGTGGGGGTTAGGGAGCCCTAGGGTGACAGTATCAAGTGGGTGTCTGTCAGTTGGCCTACTAGATGTTTCAGTGTGTACCTACTAGCTGTGTGCCTGCTGTGTGTGTGTGTCCCCCAGTTTCCCAGCCCTCTTCCCCAGAGCCCTGGAAGGAGCAATCTCCTTATCAGGACGTGCACGGCTGAGCTCCAGCTATGCAACCATCCAGCTCTGGGAGCCAGGCTGGCGGCCAGCCTGGCTGCAGGGGCAGAGTGGGCAGCAAAGGGCTCCCCAAGTTCTCAGTCCCAGCAGCCCAACCCATCAGGCAAGGAATGAAGCAAGAGGGTCAACCTGGCACCTACTAGAAACTCCTCCCATACCAGCTGCACCAGGGTAGCTGGAATGTGGGCCCCTTGGTTTATGACAGAGACAGGGGAACAGACACAACCCCTGCAATAGCACCTCCTTCTGGGAGGGGAAAGGAAGTCAAATATCAATGCTCAGCCTAGAATTAGACTACCTAGTCTAGGCATATTCAGAGAGCCACCCCAGTGACCTGTAGGGAGGCTGAGAGGGCAGGTTACTAATCCAAGGTCAAGGTGTCCTTACTGGCCAGTCACAGCAGAGTCTAGGACCAGGTCTGTGGTAAGAACTGTTCTACTGTCATTTGCCTCTCAGCCTACACATGTCTAAGTCTACCAAATGCAAACCACCACAACACCCAAGCTGACTTCTAATCCATCCCAGGAGCAGGGGTGGATCCTATCTGCAGTCTCCAACTTTTTTACTCCTCCCCCTTCCTTCCCACACACCTGAACTTGCCTGGCCATCTTCTCCTCCTCCTCCTCAATGCCTACCTCCTCTGATCCATCCTCCAAGAGCAGGCTCCAAGGGAGGGCTATGGCCCCTTCAGGATGGGATCCTGTTACACACACACCCTACCTCACTGGTTATTCATACCCATTGACCTAGCCCTTCTGCCCCATCTCACCTCCACACTCCCCTAGGAAGACAATGTTTCTTGAGGACATGGATTCTACTCATATTTCTACTTACCCGCTAGAGTCCAGCACAGTGCCTGAACAGAGTAAGTGCCCAACAAATATTTGCTGGCAGAATGCCCCCAATGCAGAGAGAAAATACCTGCCAGGACTTCCTAAACGGGCAGGTATCAATTATGGCCTGCTAGAAAGGTGACCAGGGTCAAGGCAACCATCAACCAGGCCCCCTTCCCCAAAGTCAGGTAACCAGAGGGAAGAAAGTCACTTCCAGAGTAAACTTTCAGGAAGAGGAACAAGGACACAGAAAGCTCGGCACCATGAGCCACAAGTCAGGGACTGCCAAAAAGCCCCTAAGTGGGCCTGGAGTGACCATGCTGGAACATGTCAGCTCCACACTGCCTCTGCCTACTGCCAGCAGTGCTCTCTTCAGGCACCACCACACAGACACCGTCCGTTGCCCTACCGTCCCAAACGGTACCGTCCCAAACGTCAATTCATACTCAAGCCCCTTCCACATTGGGAGTCATGATCCTAGTGCCCCCAGGCTGGGTGTCTCTTCACAGAGGCCAGACTGGAGGAATCTAGAGCTCTCCCCGGCCCAACAGCCTATAACTCTCTGACCATTCCATCTCCCAGGAACCCCAATGCCACCAAAGATGCAAACATCAGGGAAGGTGCTACAGGCTGACATGGTTGATTCCTACAGTGCAGAGGTCACAGCTGGGGGACTACCAGGCTGGAAGAGTGCCAGGAGTCTTCACCTGTCCTCACCTCTGTTCCAGCACCCAGGGACTGCTCAGGTGAGCAGGGGTGGGAGCAGAGTACGGGTAGGAAAGAAATCCCAGGAAGAGAACAAAGAAGGGGAGCAATTCTCAGAAGTAGCAATATATCTGGCTTCCTTGCCTACTCACCACCACCAGGACCCTCACTCAACTCTGCAAAAAAGCTGAGCGCAGAATAAGAATGATGATGTCGGTGGCGAGCTCTGGTCTTTGACCACCCGGGGATGCCATGAGCACTCAGGACAAAAGGGTGGTCTCCACTTCGACAAGGGTTACCCTGCAAAAACTTTGCTCCAAAGTGGTCAAAGGTTCAAGTGGGCCAGTTTATCAACATTTTGACTCTGGCCACGAATTGTGTCAATTCAATTATACAAGTTAGTGTCTACAGGCGCACACAAAAGCTACGAGCCCCGGCACAGATGAGGGTCAATGCAAGAGTAGTGACTGTGCTTCTCCCCACTTCTTCCCCTTTCACCGTCTTAAGCTGGAATCGCCGCATCCCTGAAGCAGCCCAGAGAAAACTCCACCGGGTAGTCTTTCAAGTCCACCTGGGCCTTACAGTGAAGTTGCCATTTGGTGCGTGTGTTCAGAAACCCACTCCGTGGCTTTCCTACCAGGATGAGGAGCCTCCACTGAGAGACCCCGCGTTGGGGGGAGATGGGGTAGTGGGGCGCCCGCAGTCTCACCCGCCCGAGGTGTCACAGGAGGAAGACCGAGGGAGAGGGCAGGAAGGGGGGCTCCCGCGGCCCCCCGCGGGGCGGCGCGCTCACCTGGCCCGCAGAGCCGGCTGAAGTGGTAGGGGTTGCAGCACACGGTGGGGCCGTCGGCCGCGGCGGCGAAGCTGTGGCAGCCGCACAGGGGCTTCAGCTCCACGGCGTGCTGCAGGTCCGGCCAGCGGAAGAGGCGGCCGAGCAGCAGCTGCGGCGGCGCGGGCTGGCCGCCCAGGCGAAGGTCGACGCGCGGCACCAGCACGCAGCCGCCCGGCACGCCGCCGCGGGACTCCACCGCCTCCAGCAGCGTGTCGAGCGAGCGCTCCTTGAGCCGCTTCAGCAGCGAGTACGTGACCGTCTTGAGCTCCTGCTCCAGCAGCAGCAGGCGCGAGCGGGCTTCGCGACTCCGCCCGCCGCCCGCCGGCTCCGGGGCCGCCCCGGCTAGGGGCTCACCGGCGTCGCGGGGCGCGCCGGCGGCGTCCCGCTCCGAGAAGAGACAGCAAGTCACCGTCTCGCAGTCACTTTCGGGCAGCCAGCCCGGGCCGCCAGGCTCCGCCACGTCCAGCGGGGAGCCTCCAGCACCAGCCCCCGGCTCCGACATGGGCCTCGGGGGGCCGCCGGCGCGCCGGCGCCTCCCGGCGCCCTGGGCGCCTCGCTGTCCCACCGCGTCCCGGGGCCGCCGCGGGGCTACCAGGCGGACTTCGAAGCGGCCGCAGCCTCCGCCTTCTCGTGCCCGCGGGGCCGGCTCCGCTCGGCCGCCCAAGCCCCCATCCTCGCCGCCGCCGACGCCGCCGCCGTCCTCCCGGTCGGGGACCACACGACTTCGCCAAAGTCGCCGCACCAGCCCCGAGCGTTTGGACCTGAACATACGATATCCTTTGGCGCCGGGGGTGGGGGGGCGGCGGTCTCCGATTACCGGGGGTCCGTTTCCTCAGCGAGGCGCCGGCTGCGCGGGCCGCAGCCCCACATGAAGCTCCGCCACCGGGCGCCGCGCAGACCGCGCACAGCCTGTCGTCGAAGGGGCGCCGCAGGGCTGCAACATGAGGGAGCTCGCCGGGGCGGGACGGCAAGAACACGCGCGCGCCGAGCCGCAGTCCGCGACGGGCCAGCGGCTACATGGAACCCCGCGGCCGGGCAGCTCAGTGACTCCGGTCCCGGCGCTTTAGGGGGACTGCGGGAGGCGCGCCGCCAGAGAGACCCCGCATGGGCGGGCGGGCTTTCAGAAGTTGCCCGGCTGGTCCATGAGCGCAAACGCTCTAGCTAGCCGGCCCCCCCCACCCCCCAAAAAATGTGTCTGGGAAGCTCTCTGCCTTTCAAACCCAAACGCTTAACTACATCGGCCTTTCCTGCAGGATCCGAAAGACAGGCTTGTCAAGACCCTCAGCTTCCTTTTCACTCCCAGTAAAAAAGGGAAAAAAAAGCAAAGTAAAACACCCAAACAAAACCAAAATCCCTGGAATTGCATGCATGAAAGGCCAACTCCGTCTCAGGTCGCAGGCTCTGGATGCACTTGGAGCGAGTTTCTCCTGAAGGCGGGTGTCAACACATGAGTGGAAACTGTAAAAATCCCAAAGAGTTGCTGGGAATCCTTAATTAAAAATGCAATCCACCGAGGCAGAGAGGCAGAGGTCGCAGCCAGTCCTACGCTGCGCTCGGACGCCCCGGGCGCCTCGCCTGCAGAGGTCGTCCCCCTCCCCCCTCCACAAAAAGTGCCTCCCGGTGGCCCCGAGGTCCCAGCGAGGTCTGGCGAGGCAGCGCCCGGCGGCTCTTTCTCTCGGCTCGGCTCCCTCTCTCGCTCCCCCGCTCGGCTCGCTCTCTCTCTTTTTTGTTCTCCTCAAACGCACACTGAGGGCCCCCGGAGGAGCGCCGCGGAGTCATTGGCTGCCTCCCATCATATGCCAGTCTAGACACTTTGGCGGCTCCGCGGCGCTGATTGTTGCGCAAACAAGGTTTCAAGTTTCTTAACTCTTAAAGGAGAACACGTCCCATTGCAGGGCCCGAGGCTCCAAGGGGCCGGCTCCCGGGGCGGGCCGAGCCCGGGCCCCCGCCCCACGCTCGCCCCGGCACCCCCGCCCCTGGCCTGACAGCGCCCACCGCCAGCTCTCTGGCTTGCTCTGCGCCGCGGGCACGGATGCTAGCGAACACGCGCGCGCGCGCGCACACACACACACACACACACACACACACGGTTTCACAAACCACGGGCAGGCGACGCGAGGGATAGGTGGACCCACTAAGACTCGGATGCAGACGGGAGGATTTGCCTCTCCCTGACTTGTGCACAAACTTACAAATACATATTGCACGTTGGGGTTAGTCCAAAGCCATCCCAGGGAAGGCTAATAAAAATGGATGTTGGTGTGTGTGCCTTCCTGGCTTGCGACTCCAGGGACAGGGTGGGGGGCTGCTGATCCGTTCGGGTGGTGGGATCTTCCCTAAAAGCACAAGATCTGCCGCTCCTCTTGCGCAAAGCCAGGGGTGTCTCTGCTGCGGGGCGTGGGACGTTGCGTGCACGGGGGCTCCAGGCTTGCTGGGGCAAGCGGCTGCAGAAGGTGGCAGGAGCAAGGGGTATCCCCGCTTCTCGGCCTCTCCTCGGTGGCCACGGCCTTCTCTGGGGCAGGCGGGCCGCCAGCCTTCCCCGGCCCCCTCGAGGCCGGGGGCTTCCCGCTCCCCCCCTCCCCAGTGACTCACTGCACTACGTAAAGAAATGCGGGTAGGGGTCGAGCTTTCCCCAGCAGCGTTCCGCATGGAAGTGGGGGGTGGGCGGGGGCCCGGGGCCCGCGGGTCGGGACCGGCCGTCGGGGGCGCGGCGCCGGCAGCAGCAGGCCGCCTGGCGCGGGAAGAGTTAAAGCCGCTCCTACCCCTGGAGCCGGCGCGGCGGGGTACCTCCTCGGGCGCGCTCGCTCGTCCGAGGGTGGCAAAAGTTCAAGCTTGTAAAGTCAGGATTGGTCCCGCGCGGAGGGAAAAAAGGCCTGGTCCCCCTCCCCCCCGGGCGCGGCGCCGATTGGCCCGGCCGCGGGGCGGGCACCGCCCTCTCCCCGGCGCGCTGCTGCCCCGCCCCCGGCGCGGCGCCCCGCCCCTTTCCGGGTAGGCGGCCGGCCCCGCGCTGAATGAAAGAAATTCCGCTACTCTCATTGGCCAGGGGCTGGGCGCCCAGCCCGGCGCGGGCGGCGGGGGCGCTGGCGCTCGGGTCTCCCACGGGGGTGCCCACGTGTGGGGCGCTCCTTGTGAGTGTGCCGCGGTGCGCCTCCGGCCTGGCCCGGAGTTCGTGTGTGCGCTCAGGAAGGGCGGTATTTGCAGGAGTGATTCAGAACCCTCTGACGAGCTTTACCTGGAGCCAGGTACCGTTCGCGCCACACGAGGGGAGAGAGGCGGTGGCTCTCCTCAATGGAAGTCCCGACTGAGAATCTTCCCCACCCCCATCCTCTACTGCTTAGGCCAACCAAAGTAACTCTCTTGGCCTCTGTCTCCTTTGAAAAATGGGGATGTTGGTGCCCGCCCCGCCTTCTTCACAGACCTCTGTAGATCCTAGGGGATAGTGCCTTTTAAATGCACAAATCACAAGTGAGATGAATTTTCACAAGGTGAACAACACCTGTAACCAAGCACCCCAAAACCCCTTTTGCAGCCCTTTTCACCTGTGCAGTCCATCAGACCTGCCGAATCAAAGTATCATGGGTTAAGCCCCATCACCAGAAATTATTGCATCTTAAGATACAATGGGAAACTCAAAGTATGTCCTTTTATCAGGGTATTTGCTTGTTTGATTACGAGTTACAGTAATAATAGCTTCTACTGAGTCCTTACTCTGGCAAGATATTTTTCTCTTGTTCTCCGCATTACAAGGAGTTAGTCATTTCTCACAACAACCCTGACAGATAACTATTATCTCCATTTTACTGAGAAGGAAACTGAGACATAGGAACTTGCCCAGTTAATTTGCCATTGAAATTAAGATGGCAAGGAGAGTTCTTAAATGCTAGAACCAGAGAGGGTATATGTGCTCATCCCCCAACAACTAGCAAGTGGTGTGTGGGCCTGTGCTGCCAGGGCAGTTGGAGCTGTAGTCCATCAGACCTGCTGAATCAAAGTGTCATGGGTTAAGCCCCAAGACGCCATATAACAGCACGTTGAGGGTAGGTATGGTTGTTACTGCCAATTTACAGACAAGGACATTAAGCACAAAGACATTAAGTAACTTGCACAAGCTTGTAGTTATGCCAGAGGTGGTATTTGAACTCAACCAGTTTGGCTGGGGGAAGGTGTATGTGTGTGTAATGGGAAGCAAAGGGAATGGAAAGGCAGGTAGGAGATGAGTTACCCCTCAGGGCCTCCAAAAATGTTCAGGACCTAACCCTGGGGACAAATATATGGGATGTGGCTCTGTCCTCCTATCTCCCCAAGTACAGTGGCATCCCTTTCTGCAGGGGAGCACCCTGAGGGATATCTGACCTGTGCTGAGGCCTCAAACTTGGGAGAGACAGAAGTAATGACCCTCCCTGGGGGGGGGGGGGGGAGTTAGCCTTCTTCCTGGGCAGTAATACTGGACAAAGTTTGCCTTGCTCACTCAGAGATATGGCATTGGGGATGGGGTACCATTAGGTGTCAGCTGGGTAATACCTGAAGGACACTGAAACCAGAGTCTATTAGACCTGAGTTCAGCACTGACTCTACTTATCTTCCTCAGCTCTATAAGCCTCAGGGTGCTCATCTGTCAAATAGGATTAGAAACCATGCCCAAGGTGGTTACCAAAATTAAATGACATGGGGATCCACAGTAATCCCTCCTTACAGGAAGACTGTCTGGGTGGAGATAGTATCTGGAAGGGAAGGGTGATGACAGTCCCACTGTCCTTAGATTCCCAGGTCCCATCCAGCCCAGCCTGTGCTGTGACCACTAGAGGGTGTGTGCTCAGCAAGACCCAGCAGGACAGGGCCAGAGCTGCAGCCTAAGGGCACCTCCTGAACTGCTGCTGGAAAACCAGCCCCAATTCCTTCAGGGTATTTCAGAGGAGGAAGGTGGGGTCCCTGCTGTTGTTCCTCTGGAGTTTCATTACAGCAACTGCAAGGAAGTAACTCAAACCCCTCAGATGCAATCTGTCCCCTCCCCATTCATTATTCCAGTGTTCCCCAAAGTGCCTGTGCTTCTCCTGTACAGCACTCTCACAGTTCCTAACTACAATTTTTTGTTAATCCTCTGCCCCTAGAATGTAAGCCCCATGTTGGCAAAACTATCAGGTGCAGCAGTGCTGAGGGAGTAGAAGCAGAAACAAGCTATATGATGCTGCTCTCTGCCATTGAAGCAGCACAGACTGACGCAGGACATTGCCTGTCCTGTTACTTCTCTGTCCCTAGCAAAGGCCCATAACGTAATGGACTCAATAAATATTTGTGATGTAGTTGAATTAAAATCCCTCACTTCAAGCTCTGTACTCATCAATTCCTATACCAAACCTTTACATGCATTATCCTAGCAAGTCCCCCCAACAACACAATGAATAAGTTAATTTTCTTTCTAGACCTATTTTTTAGAGAAGGAAACAGGATAAGTAATTTGCCTCTGGTCACACAGTCAATAGGTAGCAGAGATGGACCTGACCCTAGGACTGTTTGAGGTAAGTATTCATCTTTTTAACAACTGGTTCTTTGCCTTTGGGAAGTTTCCACATTATCTGGAAAGACACAAAACATGAAACTGCAGAAATCGTAGGAGGCGGAGCCAGCTTCTTGGCAGTAGACTCCAGGGCCACTGCCTATGAACAGAAGCATCACAAAGGGAGTCTAAGGCACCTCTTGATGTGGTCAGATGGATTGGGGGAGGAGAACGATTCACCCTACCCCACTTCACAGGAGATTGATGGAAAGCTCCACTGAAATCTCAGGGAGCACAAAGGCCCACTAAGTGGTATCATCTGCCCCTTTGGAAGGTAAATCTACTTGGCCAGCATGCCCCCAAATTAGAAGGAGGGGGGAAACCTTTGGGTGGTAGACAACCTTTCTTAAGCTTTGATGATTGCTCTGGACCTTTATTGAAAAAATGCACATGGACATGAATGGGGCTGTGTTCATTTATTCAACACATAGTTATTGAGCTCCTATTGTGTGCCAGGTTGTACTCTAGATGCCAAGGATCTTGCAGTAAGCAAAACACCAAAATTCCCGATTCAAGGAGTGTAGTGGGAGGACAGGCAGACTACAAACAGTGTATACCGTATACTAGAAGGTAAAGGTAGCAGGGTCAGAAATGAAGCAGAGAAGAGGAATGAGAAATGCAGGGAAAAGGTAGGTGTGGTTCAAAGAAAGTGGTCTGGGGAGGCTTCCCTGAGAAGGTAACATTTGAACAAGGTCTTCATATTACCAGGGGCTGCACTATGACACTCTCTGGGGAAAGCATGTTCCAGGCACAGAATGGCAAGTGCAAGGGTCCTAAGGTGAGAGCATGGCTGGCCAATTCCAGAACCAATGAAGAGGTGATGAGATAGGCAAAATATTGAAATAACAGGGCAGGATAGGGGGCAGCAACAGATTATAGGTTCATGCAGGTTATTGTTGGGTCTTTGATTTGCCCTCTGAGTGAGTGGGGAAAACCTGGAGGCTCTGAGTGGGATTTAGGGCTATAATCTGCTTTCTGTTTTAACTGGCTCCCTCTAGCTACAGTGTGGAGAACAGACTTTGAGGGGCGGGGCTGGGAGCAAAGGCCTGGTGGGAGTTGGCAATGATCCAGGAAAGGCCTTGCTGATTTGAGTAGTCAGATCATGGACGTACTTGAAAACAGAACCAGTATGGTTTGCTGTAACATATTTGAAATTATGAGAGAACATCTGAGCAGTCGTACATTTGTTATTGATGCTTAGTAATTTTAAAATCAATTCACCATCTTTATTTAGCCTTGTCATAATTAGTAATAGACATGAAGTCTCAATGTACTAGTTATGTATAACCACTTTAAAAAAAATACATAAATGGGCCTCCCTGGTGACGCAGGGTTTAAAGTCTCAGCACTATCAGGTTATCGCCAGCCA